CCCACACCTGCTACATGTTGCAGTTAAGCGGAATATTATATATATTACATACGTATACCTGGGAAAAATGAAGTTTGCACACTGTGTTGCGTTCTTAAGAAGAAACGATAAATAAATTGGAATATTAGAAATATATGTGTGTAATGTTATTTTAAATGGTTTGGTCCACCGCTGGGAATACTATGCAAGATGACTGCTTGAGTCAATTCAAAAGGCCAACTGAATCATTCATACTCGAATTGATTGAAGAGTTTGGCTTTTAAATTGATCCTTATTTTATTGGATATAAACAATGCGAAAACTAATAGAGTGGATATAAATGACGAGTTTTTTAGAATATGTTGTTTGTTTCCACCTTGTGGCTGATTTTGTTTTAGATTTCCTTTCTCATTACAGTAGGACGAGATCAAAAATGAAATTAATTAACAACTTCCCTGTCCTCATACAATGCATTTTGTTAATGCCCCACGTCCACAGGTTTTTTGCTCTAATATGCTGAAGAACGTCACACACAATTGTACACAAAAATGAGTCGCATGTGACTCATGAACTTATTTCAACACGCTCTTGTGAGTCACATATGACTCATTGGACAGGGAAGTTGTTAAGACTACCCCCGTTAGTATATTTTCAAATATTTTTGTAGTTTCGGCATTTTTAGTTCCCGTTCATTACATTTTAATATACATACTGTTACTTCCAAAATTCAGGGTTTGGCTCTTTTTTGTTTATATTCGCAACGTTTTACATGCTAAAATCTTTTTGTCAGTTTTATATTAAAATATGGCTTATATTTTAGCTAACACATTTAAATCTATGAATGAAACAGTGTACGAAAATTAAGAAAAATCTGTAAAGTTTCAGCAAAATCGCGAACTATTTAATACGAATTTCTAAATAGAATTCAGATATGCAGTTTTATAGGCCATTAAATTTTATTATAATAATGTTCAAATGTCTAAAAATTTGCGTTGATATTTGAGAAGTTTTGTACGAATTTTTTTTTTTCATAAAAAAAAAATCTCAAACTTTTTTATATGAAAAAATGCGTAGGATTTAGGAATTAGTATTAGATGTTTTGAATATTTGTTTCTCTTTGAAAGTTGACATCTTCAACTTGATTAGTTTTTCGAATCACGATCGCCAATGCAATTCGCGAAATTAGGAAGAGTAAATATACAGCTGAATTTTCCATGTTACGATCGTTTTTTATGGGGAATTTTCACAAAACAAATTTATGATGTTGGAACCCATCTGGGCCTTACCCGACATCACTGAGCGCGAGCGCGAAGCTACGCAAATTGAATGTTTGAAAAAGTCATAATGTCAATAGACTCTATTTCGCAATTAAATCAAAAACTACCTCAATTTTGGATAATTAATATTTCGTTAGTTAATTACTACAATGTAAGTCCGAGTGCGCGTGTGAGCCCTTTGGATGCCTTCTCAAAAGGAAGATAACGTTGTTTTCCGTAGTATGCTGTGACCTAAAGCAACTGCATTTCGAGTCCCGTTAACTGTATCACCGACAGACAATATAAATGTTGAGAGGTTTAAACTAGTGTCCGACCGAAAGTTTGGCCTGGCTTCGGTATTCAGCGGATTTTTTAACTTCGGCTTAGGCCGTAAATGGCGAACAATTAGGCAATTCACGGTGCAGTGAAAGAACGCCCGTGGACTTTATTTCCTTAAAACAAAAAACAAAAAAAATCCCATAGGCGTTATGGGTGTAGGAAGTTTAATACCAAGATCGTAGCATTATTTAAGCACATGAATACATAAACAATAATGGCCTTATTCATAAAAAATAAAGTAGCTTTATAAAAGGTTTATTAATTGAAAAATGTATGAAAACGTCAATTTATAAAGCTCTTTAAACCTACTTTATTTTTTATGAATAAGGCCATAACTTTATAAAAATATCAATAAAGCAATGTTATGTAATTTTTACAAGAATTCCAATCTTTAAAGTCATTGATTATACATATTTATACATACATACAGTTTTGGACATATCGCCCACTAAATCAAAACACGGCACAACTCAAAATTTTTCAAAATTTATTTTTTTCCATAAAACAGTTCACAGACCGTATACCCAACGTCCGCCAAAATTTCTTCTTCATCACTATCTTCTGCTTCTTGCTTTTGCTTGCGGCTATTGCGCAGCATCAACAGTTTTTTGCCTCTCCTGAACATTTAGGATTTTTTTAGTTGTGACGGTTAGTCCCTCAAACGTTGTCGTCAAGCTCCACTAACGGCAGCCCTAGGAAGCGTGCAGCCTCGACGGGGTCTGTCCATAGGGACAGGGGCGTTAGCGTGGTGGGGTTTAGAGGGCATACGAAGAGATGCTGTTAGTCATGGGGCGACTCTCCGCATGTCGGGCATTCGTTGAGAATATCTTCGTTTAATTTGCTCAGGTATGAGTTCAACGTACTGCAGTAACCAGAGCACAGTTGAGCTATTGTGGTCCGAGTCTCCCGAGGCAGACGAAGTTCTGTCTCGTCCACGTCTGGTGGTTGTGTGCCCAAAACGGCATTCACAGGTCGGGAGTCTACATAACTCGAGCCTGCCTCTCTGTGAATGCCGTTCAAGGCCTGTCGGGTCCAGAGGTTGTTTGATGAACCTCTGGACTTCGTCCGTCAGTTCGTTGAGATGCCTCCTGGCGTGCCTGGGCGAAGGCTCTTCTGCGAGGAGTTGCCTGTTTCGATGGCCATATCTGTGGCTCCCAACCAAGTACTGCATGCAGAGCATTTTGTTATGCTCCTTAACAGGGAGCATGTGGGCCTCCTCGTGCAGGTGGCGTTGCGGCGACATCTAGAGGCATCCTGTCGCTGTCCTAAATGCCGTGTTCAGGCAAGTCTGCAGCTTCATCCACTGCGTCCTACTAGTCCCCGGTGACTACACGGGCGCAGCATAGTTCAGAACCGGCCGGCCAATTGCCTTGTACGTTGCCATCAACGTTTCTTTGTGTTTGCCACAGGTGCTGCCGGCTAGCGACTTGGGGACCTTATTGCGGCTTTGTACTTTGTTGACAATTGCGGTTGATGCGCTGAGAAGGAGAGCAGACTCTCGAATGTTACTCCGAGTATCTACGGGTTGTTCACCGTCGGAATTCAGCAATCGTCAGCATAAGAGACAATCGAGACTCCCTCTGGTGGTTGAGGGAGCTTTGAAATGTAAAGGTTAAACAGTAATGGGGAAAGGACACTACCCTGTGGAACCCCCTGTTTTATTTTCCTCGGTTTGCTCGACTTGTCTCTTAAAGTTACTGACGAGTGACGACAACTCAGATAATTCGCCGACCACCGTTTGAGTCCCTGTGGGAGCGAGGAGGCCTCCATGTCTTCTAGTAGCGTTTAATGGCTGACAGTGTCGATCGCCTTAGACAGGTCCAGCGCTACTAGAATGATTCTCTCACAGGGGCGCTTTCGGTTTAGGCCACGAGTTATCTGGGTATTTATGGCGTTAAGTGCTGTTGCTGTGCTGTGCACTTTACGGAACCCATGCTGATGCTTCGCTGGGGTCAGGTGGTTGTAAAATACGGGAGTAGCAAGGCCTCTACTGTCTTCTCCACCGGGGAAAGGAGGGTTATCGGACGATAAGACACCCCTTTGATGGCTGGTTTCCCCGGTTTGAGCAGTGGGACCACTCTCCCCATCTTCCTGATGTCTGTAATGACGAGAGTGGCCATTGACAAGTTGAGGACCCCCGTTAGGTACGCTACTCCCGTAGGACCCAAATTGTTCAGCATCAGCATGCATATTCCGCGGTCCCAATGGCTTTGGAGGCTTTCGCCTTCCCGATGGCTACCCTTACCTCACCGCTGGTGAAAACCAGAGGCGCACTTGGTTTTGGCAGTTTGTGCAGCCTTCTGGTCACTCGACGTTTGGCTTTATCCACCGGAGGATGCAAGTTGAACTACCGGCTAAAATAGCTCGCGCATCGCTCCCGGTCCGACGAAGCGTGTTCACCAAAGTCCATTTCAACTCTGTCGTCACGCTTCGTCTGGTTGTACAATGACCTCGAGGCGAAGTTGCAGGTCTTCAGATGCTCTTCCCATTTCTTCCGCTTATGTACGTTCACAAGTTGCCGAATCTCCGAGTTGAGATCTCTAATACAGGGATTTCCGAGATCGGCCTGATGAAGGTTGTCGCGCTCATCGGCTAGGACAGCCGCTTCTGCAGGAAAATTCGGACGAGGGTCCGAGATGCATTCCGCTGGGATGAAGCGAGCTGAAGCGTCAGTGACAACCCTGCGGAATTTACGTTCACCTACGTGAAAGTCGGTTGGTATGGGTAGCGCAGCGAAGGCGCTTTCAGTAACATCCGCGAAGAAGGTCCTTGTTTTAT